TTATTGACTCGTCCAAAGTCTTAGATTTTAAAACTTCATATGCAAAGTAACATGAATGTAGTAGAAAGTATAATATTTTCCACACAGATTGTAGTAGTAGTAGTTATAGTAGTGGTGTGGTAGAGAAAAGTGAATAAGTACCGCCAATTTCACTACAGTACTTAGTTACATTACACCACTGGATTTGCCTCTCTAATATTTAAATACAAATACTGTCAATGTTCATTCATCAGCAACCATCACATCTCGTTGTTGCAGGCACATCGATGACACACTAGGTGGCGTACAATCCCTGTAGAAGAGGAACAAGACTCCTCTGCTGCCTGAGCAGAAACACAACACAGACTATTAATACACTGAGCAGCTGAATCCCTCCTTTTGGTTTCCAGTCAGCAGAGCCTCAGAGAGAGAGATCAGACAGGGAGCCACTGATAGAATCTGATTTATTTCCTATAATCTCAAAAACATACTTCTTACTTTGCTTGCACTCCAAGAAACAAATATACTCAGTTACATGTGAAGTCTTAGTTTTCTAACATGACATTTTGTGACTTTTTCTGAACAGCTACATGAACTCTTCCTCTATGAAATGAATCTTGACTTTTGATCGTTGCAATAATTCATTTCATGGCTATTTTAACAAAATTCTATCACACACACGTACACAGATGCACACGCACCGAGCACGTGTACACACATATGCGCAGGATCTCTGAACTAGTTAATGTGCATCCCCTTGTTTTTTTTTTTGTCATTTCTTTTATTATTATTACATCTGTATGGCATATGGCATGGTATAAGTTTTCCTCCTGACTAAGTTATCTTTCACAACACTGCATTTTTGACATGATAACACAACTTCAATCAACACCCAACAGTTAGCAGGAACAGCATTTAGTACGTGAATACATTTGTACAAAAGGTATACACAAAACAATACAATATATTACGTAATTTGTCTCTTCAATATGGCAGGTACACACACTCACACACACATTCAGTGGCTGCAGTTACTGCGTGAAGCACACACTCCTTTATCCTTAGAGGGATTGTACATCAGTTTCAGAGCCACACACTCACATCCTGCACACAGAGTCGTACTCTAGGACGGGAGAGACTATGTACAGGGTTTTAATTCATAAAATATTGCACTTATTGGCCCATTGCATCTCACAGCGAGCGCCATGACAATGCTCCTAAGATCTGTAACATAGAGTGATGTATATACACTATCTTATTATTATTATTGTTATTATTATTATTATTATATAAATCTACATAGATAAGTCAGGACTGACCTCATGCAATTTTTTTTTTTGCTTTTATTCAACTATGCAACAAACAACCAATGATGCTAAAGGAACTGTAATGATTTGGCACTATTTTCTTTTTACTTGCAGGCCTGAAAGTCATTCTGGATTATAAATTAAACTGTAGTTTTTTACTATACGGACTTAAGTTATTAAGATCTCAATAGTATCTTCTCCATTGAAGCTTCCAATTTTAAACTACTGTATGTCAGAGCTATGTTTTCTGTATTAGGGCCATATTGAAGGAAAAAAACAATTGTGATTTCGAGAATAAAGTCTTAATATTAGGAGAATTTTATGAGGAAAAACTCATAATACTACAAGAATAATCTTTTAGGAAATAACCAGCAAGGAGAGTTTCACTCAATCTGGATCCAAAATGTTGATTGCCAGTCTCGTCATTTCTTGGGAAAACACAAAATCTCTTTGAACATCCCACAGATGTAAAGTACAACTTAACAAAATGCTCCACCTTCCTCATTTTGACACAGCTGACCAGCTGATCTTCTCATATTCCCTGTCCAACATGACACATAGCCAGAAATGACTTTATTCTAGAAATCTCTGATTTATTTCCCCTTGAAGTGGCCTTAATTCTCGATCATTGTTTCTAAGCAGCTTAGTGAGATTTTTCTTTCAGAAGGGACTTAAACAGCACAAACATGAAACTTCAGCATGCGGACTGAACAATGAAATAATGCTTTTTAAATATATGGCTGTTTATTCCATGCCAGAGCATATTTATGTATCAAACACTGCACTGCCTTGTGTAGTGTGATATTTATTTTTATTTAAATGCTGGGTCATTGCTATCACGTGGAGTTGAGGATGGTTAGATTCGGGTAAGGCTTTTCTTTAGATGAAACAGCACAGACAGTGAGTGACTTTTTGGCAGCATGCTCATCGCATCAAACTATAAAGGGGTCGTCTTGGAGGCTAAGCACATTTTACTTACCAGAGATATCACACATCTACGGACAGCAAAACATGGAGTAGTACTTACATCAACGTTACACATACTGGATTAATTCCAAAAAAGTAAGAGGTTAACGGAGGGACTTACAGAGGCCGTGTTGGAGATGCTAAAAGGCCACTTTTTTAAATTCCAAGGTAGATGATTTTTAAGATGGCAGCGTTCCACTCGTTTGTGACTCAGACACGGTACACACTCATGCAAACCCACACTCACTCACAAGAACACACACTCGTTACACAAAACAAATCCGCTACGTCCTATAGTGCACTAAATCACTGATTTGGCAGCTTTAGGAGAAAATAAACCTAGAAAAGGAAAAACGAAAATACTGTACAAAAAATAAAAATGAAATCATTATTAAAGCACTCATTG